TGCAAACTCAACATTTCCAACAACTGCTGTTTTAAATGAAAGTATCTGCTCTAAGAGTGTTTGCTGTAGTGTTAAACTGCACAATGTTATTATCATGGTAACCACAGGTGTCGCCAGGTAAACTTAACTTTTTTACAAGAACAAGGAACTTAATACTCAATAACAAATCAGATTTTTTAGATCCTGAAATATACATGTGATATTGTGCAGTGATAGGCACCTCTATAACGCTTACATTCTGGAAACAAAGGAATAAGCATGATGTTTTTTACATCCTGACTGAATAAAATTATAACAAGAGATGATTTTCTTGAAAACGTTGAGAACTTCAATACCCTCAAATACAAGCGAACATACGCACAATCCTCAGACCTAAATTATGTCTTCAATTACTATGAGGTTTCCTAAAAATTATTTTGCAGCAGGTACAGTCATTGTTGATGGAGCACTTCTGCTGCACTGTTTACAAGCCATTTATACATTCTACTCTTGGCTCTCTTCGGCACTCAGAGACGGCAAGATTTCCAGCATGTAACGGGATCCCACAACACAAAAAAACTTCATGAAAAATAGGTTATAATCTTAGTGGAAGGTTCTCTGTTGCAGCCCCACTTTATGACATTATCTGGTTAAATGGATTCAATTTTACATAACAAAAAAACTTACTACCTACTGTAGCTTTGCTACATTTTCATAAAATGGGGAGCAATTAGATTACTGTCTTCGCTCACAGTAATAGAGCCAGTGTCTTTATATCAAGATGTCAGACATGGAAGCAGGGGCTTATAATGAAATATAATGGAACAGCAGGGCAATTTACTCTATAATGTACACTGAAAAAAACATGACCTGAAAACACAATTCTTTAAATAGACTACTATCTGTTCATTTGAATCTTGCTTTCAAGTGTTCATGCCTGTTAAAATGTTCCATATGGCCACGTTTACAAGACAATGTAGGTCTCTCACCACCCCCCATCTACGCACAAATACTGATGACTGTGTGCTAATTAAAGTGTTAATGTTGACGGCATTACCTTCAAAATGTTCCTCGTGGTGAGCACCTCCTTTTGGTTCACTATGACCGTGTTGAGTACTTTTTTAATACATTGGGGGGTACATTTTTCTGCTTTATTTTGATATGTATGATACTTATGTAGTTTTACTGAAGTAGCATTTCTTATTGAAGTATTTCAACAATGTGGTAAAGGTACTTTTACTTAAAGTAAAAGCATTTCTTTTGTTTGTCGGTTCATCTTTGATCTATTACAGCAAATGCGTCCTCTTCAGTTCACATTCTCCTGTTTGTTCTGCTTTGCTGCAGATCTAGAGCAGAGCAGTGGTGACCGTGCTTTCTGATTTCTGCTCTCACACGTACATGCCGTTCTTTGCCTTGTCAACTTTTTTCACCCTCAACGTGTTGGCAAGAACTCAAAATGACAAGTGCAATCAACGCATATGTATTTGCTTACAGAACAGCAATGAAGGTGAGGATAATATAACATCAACTATAAAATTCACAAGCAGCATCTGAACATACATACATACAAGCAGTGGGAGAGAATTTCTGTTCAGGTTTCATTGTTTGTGTGTGCGTATGTATGATTGTACATTTATGTGAACGTGTATGTGTGTATATGAAGGCCTGCCTCACTATCTTAATGTAATATGTGACCTAGAGGGAATTGTGAAGCCTCTCTGACAGACCTTTTGATGACCCCGTCCCTTTTGCTTTCCCTTTCTGCAGCTCAAAAAAATACTGGAGTGATACACTGGACAAGCACTCTTTTTCACACTTAAAGCAATGATCTAAGGATAACATGCTTTCTGTTGAATGAATATTGAATTGAAAAAAATACATCATCACTGGAAGAAGCCCACTGATTCATTTCCTCCACTTGAGACATCTCTCTGGAAGTATTAGCTGCGATTTGACTTGCGTCAGACAGACGGTTGTAACACCAACATGGGGGCCCTGGAGAATGAAGTGCAGCAGATTTTCACTGAGTGTGTTGAACATGCGGGTGTGATGAGGGGTCAGCTACAGAGCAATCTTTCCTGCATTCCAGTTGAGAGCATACAAGGCCTTTGGCACTGAGGATCATAATCTTGGCGAGCTCTCTTGTAGCGGAGTGGTTAAGGGATTAAGTTAAAAAAAAACACTGCTTTGAAACAACATTGCATTTAAGAAGCATGCCCACAACTAGAGGATGGTTACACAAAGTAAAAAAAACCTCTGAATTATCTTGGCACTGCAGGGTCGGAAAATGATCTGAGGAAGACAGTAAGCACGTTAGTTACATAACACGTCTCAAATTGGGATTTGGCTTCCCCTGATATGAGAAATACTTCGGTGTTAACATTCTTAATAAAGTCATTTTAATATCTGGTTCACTCTTGTAGGGTATTTTGTTTGGCACATGGAAACACCATTTCTAATTCATAACAACCCAGATACAATGCCCAAACTGTGAAGACCAAAATGAACTGAAAGCATCCTGCCGATGTTTGTGATCAGGGTGACCTCGGATGAAGAGTTTAACTGGGCAGTTCAGGGCAAACAGAAAGTGTAGAAAAAGTCATTAGAATTATCTTGATGTTCGTTGCTCCTGTAGCAATTCTTCCATCAAAATGTCAAAATAGCTCAAATCATTTTGAGCTACAATTAATGTCTCAGAATGCTGAAATTCAAACTGGGGTCTTTTTCATTGGATTATTTTTAGAAACCTTATACAGTGTTCTCTGTCATTATGTTCTAAGTCTACTTTACTAAATTCTCATTTATTAAAGGCCACTGAGCCAAATGCATTGTACTTGGAGGGGTTATGTTGACATTTTGACATTTTAAAGGTGCATCAGTAATTATTGAAGATATGCATTTGCATTGCAATTTTTTTGTAAAAAATAAAGGGCTACAACAATGATTTTAATTATTGATTCATCTGCTGATTATTATCTGAATTGCTTAATTGTTTAATCTATTAAATACTCATTTCAGTTCCCCAGAATTCAAGATGATTTCTTCAAATAGCTTGTCTGGTCTTAATAATAGTCCAAAACCCAAAGAGATTATGCTTACAACTATATAAAACAGCGAAAATTTGCAAATCTACACAATGGAGAAGCCTTAACCAGAGAGTGGTTGGCATTTTGGCTACTTCAACAAATAATAAACAATTGAAATGGTTGCTGATTAATTTCCTGGCAGTTGACAAATCAATTAATGAACTAATCATTGCAGCTCCAACAACTTGGCATTCTTTCACATCTTGAATACCTCTGATGAAGTACTAACACACTGCTGACTGATCCTGCTATTTCACTTGGTGCTTCTTGCTGTTCTATGACCTGGATGACTCTTCATGGACACACTCAGATCATTTCATGCTCATTATTTCAACCAGTCTGTCTGTGTAAAAGCGTGCCATATCCTGTTACCAGTATAGTGTAATAATATATGCCATAACCTGTGTTTAGGATGAGGATTGAGAGGCATTGCAGCAGGGTAGGTGACCTATAAATAACCATAGCCCAGGGGCCTCCAGAAGTCTTTGGCTAGCTTCGACACACACACCCGCAAGCACACGGGCACACACACACACGCACGCACGCACGCACGCACGCACGCACGCACACACACACACACACACACACACACACACACACACACACACACACCTGATATATTAAAGCAAGTGTCCAAAAGGGATAGTTTAGCTGATATAATTCTGGTAAATGTGGCATGAATTCAAAGTTTGATTTATTATCTAAATGGTTTATCGTTCTGTGATAACGGTTACATAGCATTAATCATATTATAGCAATGTTAACCAGTCTGCGTATGCATTCTACACATTGGATTATGGCACTATGGACATGACTTGTGAAATGTAAGTACTGTCGGTATCATTTATGTTGCAGTAAATTGCTTTTCTTGCTCTGAAGCACCTACTTCAGAACAACCTACAGTACAAAATCTACAATAGAGGTAATTGAAAATTTATCAGTGAGTTCTTTGAAGTGGTTTTTTTTTTTATATGCCTGTTTGATCACAGGCAGTACTGTGCCTGTAAAAGCCTGGTCTAGAATGATATGGCTATAATAGCTCCAATGTAATTCATCACATTTTTAGCCCTTTTGCAACTGACAAAACTGCTGCAGTGAAAAAGACACTCCAAATCCATCGGGCCTCTTTTTATAGGACATAAAAGTGAGTCTTTGGAGAGATATTTCAAAGTGCAAATATAAGGGATCAATGACTTTGGTGTCAGATCTTTGAAGGATCCAATTCAACTAGCGTGGCCAATCTGATGTAGGTTATTGAGGATAGGTCACTATTTTATAGTTATATATTATTATAACTATACAATCCATATCCCAGGTTGTAATTGCACAATGTAGAACAGCTTATCAAGGCATATTTTATATGAAGTTGGAAAAATAGTTCCTGTGATCATAAGTTAAGCACCCAATGAAAACCAACGAGGTTGTCTCTATTTCATTGCTCACTCTTGTACATATTATTACTTTACGATTGTTGTACCGCGCCACTAATTACAGTTTAGTGTAGCAATCACCTTTGACACAAAACCGTCTCCGTTACAGGGAGTGCATTACGCCGCTTAAATAAACAGGAATCTCATGGAAGAAGATTTAAAAAACGATTTGAACAAATACAGCTCTACGGATGCTGTAGCCTCTTGAAAAGCAACACGGAAACAGGGCAACCACTACTGATACTGATGGCTAGATAAAGGGGTTTAATGATGCACAGCGGCTGCAGCAAATCCGGAGTTAGTGAAGGATCCATTATCCCACTTTATGTCACAAGAGAGCCAACAAAGATATATTGGAACAGCTAAACTCATTTTTACCTGTAAAATGCCACATATATGTCAGATAGCAAAATCATGCTCAAATCTAACTCTTATAATCAGAACGACAGGATACATTAGTGAGGCAGCAAACAGCAAGCTGAGAATGGTGGAGGGAAATTCTTACCATGGCCCCCTCTGGTAAGAAAAGGCATCCTGTTGATGGCAATAGGAACGGTGCCATGCTTATTGTGAAAATGGTGGACATGGTGTGTGGTGCTGAGACTAGAAGACACACGTGCTGTTCCAGTCTGGATGGGGAGTAGAGTAAGCAGGGCAAACCAGAAGGCTAGTCTTGAACAATAACTTAGGCCCATACCTAGGCTACTGCATGACCAGCTGCTCCACTGTCCGAGCACAGGGGTGGCTGCAAATAGTCTACCCATGTATATTAGATCCTCATGGGCCCAGGACAGACAACTTAGCCAAGCTTTGGTCTCTGGCAGTTCAACTTGAAGACCACAGGGCATCTCAGTGACAATCTGGGCCCATTTCTTATATAATCCCTTGATTTGGTCAATAAACGAAAAATATCCTTTGAATTTGTGACAAAAATAACCAAAAAATGGATTTCTAAAAAGCAGTCAAAATCCAGTAAATGTTCTTGTGGAAGAAAAGGAATAGCAAGCAACTTATCTAATTTTGGTTAACATTTTGCCATGACGAGATGTCTACAGCACAGAAAAGACATTGAAAACCATCCCAAAGCACCTTCTTCAAAAAGTGAGCCGAGTGTATCCAAAATGCAAAAAAAGATACACATCCAAATAAAGAATGGAGATGAATCCACCTGTTATTTCAAAAAGGCATGTTGCTCAACCATGATATTTAGGCATGAAAAGTGGCAGGACAGAGCTTCATGTGACAAGAATTCTGATAAGAGTCTCCATCGCCCACAGGTAGAGCTTTAGGGCAGCTGAGCCTGCCCACTAAGAAGAGCGCCCCTCCACCGCAGTAGAAGACATAACACGCTTCCGTGGGAAACTGGATCATTTCATAAAGCAAAAAGGACAAGGCGATAAAAATATGCTCAAGTGAAGATGCAGCGATGAAGGGTGATGCAGGAACCAGCGCTTTTGTTCCCCCTTTAGCCAGGGAAAGGCAGGAGAACAGAGATAGGGAGGGGGAGAGACAGGGAGAGACAGGGAGAGAGAGAGAGAGAGAGAGAGAGAGAGAGAGAAGGAGGGGTAGAGAGGGAGCAGTATCTGCAGCAGCGCGGTAAAAGAGAAATTCCAGAAAATAAATAAATAATTTCTCAGTAGCTCCTCATTCACTCTCGCACAGACGCAGCAAATCCAGCGGACGATATACCTTTGGTGTGGCACAGATCCACACACGAGTGTTTCTATTTCAAACGCACATATGATCCTTTCCTCGCGCTCCACCTGCTCAGTCTCATGCAGTAAAGACTACTGCTGCATTCCCCTCACTGCTGCTCCTTTTTTTCCTTCCTCCTCTCCCGTTACCTCGTCCAGATCTGCCTCTGACTGAGAGACAGTTAACGTGACTGCTGCATGTGTCTGTCTCTGGAGGAGGGAAGGTGATTCCTCTCAGATGAGATGGCTTGGATGGCAGACACTGAGATGCTGCCTTGAACTGCTGCAGCAAAAATTATGCTAATTAAAAAGAACCGTCGTATCATAATAAATCCGGGATGGGTGAAATTCCGGGACAGTCTGGACCCCAGCAAAAACAACCTTGGCTTGGAGTTGTGCTCTAGTGAACGCAAGATAAAGGAGCTCTTCTGAAGGCATACTGTAGTCAGAGGCTCTGATCCAGTGAGGCACAGCATGTGCCTGTGTGTGTGTTTGTGTGCGTGTGTGTGCGTCTGAGAAAGAGAGTCTGTGAGCAAATGAGTGAGGCACGGGGAGAGAAAGGGTGGGTGAGCGATAGCAGAAGGGAGGGAGAGAGAGGAAGAGACAACGAAAGAGAAAACAGGCAGCCACGGCGCCAACACACAGGGAAATAGTGAGGCAAGAAAATGGGCTGTGTGAATAAATACATGCTACAGATTCACAGCGCACTGGCTTGCAGGTCCTGGCAGTAACACGTAGGAATCATACTGCAGAGGAGGAGCCTGATTTAGGTGAGCTGTCAGAGCTGTTACAGAATGAACACAAGGGTATTGGTATGGACGTGCTCCTAACATAAAGAATCGAGAGACATAATGATGGAAACACAAATACCTGTCAAAATGATATAATGCAGCTCACTGCATTAGGCTATAGGCTAAAACTTGCATCCAAAGCCCTTCTTTTCCCAGCGTTGCATCGCATACCTTTGCTGTTCTAACACTACAAATCAATTTGTTCCTCTGCCTGACGTGTTCACCTCATATCTGTATACAAGTGTTAGAGAGCTCACGCTGCTTAACCATGCAGGACTTATTCCTAGCTATGACTGATCAGAGTTCAGAGGTATTCTGACAGTTTTGGAGCTGCTTGTGCTTTTTTGGGTGAGGAAATATGATGGCATGATGAATTTGGAGTATATTGACACTTGAGAGGATGAACACATTATAGGAAACAGGGAGACAAAGTGGGGGAGGGATTGGAGGTAGAGAGGATGGGAGAAACAAAGAGGGAGAGAGATTGCAGGGGGCAGAAGCACAGCGAGAGGAAGGGAGACTGCAGCGATATCAGCTAAATCGCGGTCGATAGAGATATCAGCTGGGATTGCCTAGTCGGTTGAAAGGACACGCATGGAAACAGGAGGACAGAGGCAAGCCATGCAGCACCACCTCTCCCAGTGACAAGAAGGCAATGCAGGCCATTACTCAAACAGGGGAGTGGGGGGTGGGGCGTGTGGGGGAGCGAGGCTGATTGAACCAAAAGAACAGAGGAGGGGTGAGTGCATAACAATCTGGAATGGCAAGTGCCCTTACCGCATGTAAACATTCATCTGCTGGTATTATGAACATAAATAAATTGAAACAAGCTGTGCATTTTGTCTTCGCATCTGTCCAACATGACTCACAGGGATATTTAAATACTTAATGCGTTTTCTCTTCTATATGTTGCTCAGTACATCTCAACGATGGGAAAGTGCATGCCAGCTTACTAATACAGAGAATACCGATGATGCAGAGCACTTCCTGGCTGTAACATGTAGACGCCTTTACAGTAATGACTATTTGGTGTGGGAAGGCAATGCCTAGCCTTGAGAATAATCCACTGACAGGGTAAAAGTCAGTTTTACTTCTACTGTCAAGGCTTCAGCCAGTTTTATGCAGCTTACAGAAGGGCAGTCATGACAAGAAAAGTACTAGAAATGATCTCTAACCCACACACAATCAGGTCCAAACAAAACCAGTATTTCATTCCCAGCAACTGGGAAGGGACTGGGTACGAGAAGCTGGTGTGGGATGATTTATAGCCAGTGATTTGGACTGCCATGCTCTCCAGCATGTGAGCATCTTAGGCAGGGATGATATCTTGGTGTGAGCTGTCTACAATGAAAGGCTTGCATTCATCAATTTACGTGCTTGAGGGTTGCTCAACATGATAAAAGCCATGCTATCTGGACAACAAGAAGGCAGAGGCTGGCTGATTGTAACCTTGTGTTGCCCTTGAGCATCCCACGCAGCTCTTCCTATTAACACACACCTGGACAATTCTCATAGGATACACATCAAATGCGCATTTGATGTGTGATGATATAGTTGATGATAAGCTTTATTTTTTAATTGAATAGCAATCGACTTCTGCTGGATTTTGAAAACAGAATCTCATATAGCTGCGACTTCTGCGCTTCCAGTCCGACAAACCTTTGATTTGATTTTTTACATTTTCCTACAGGCTATTTTGAACCTATTCCACCACTCAGTTATGCATTTGCATAATCTAATTATTTTGCATGTATGGAATAATGTATATTTTAGAAACCATGAACTGAAAATGTTTCAATTCCTTTGTAGAAAAAGTCAAGGGGCCTAAAAAGCGACGTGATGTGAGAAGACGTCGACAGCGGTTTAAAGACTAAAGAAACCTAAATGTGTGCTGTGCGTTCTCAGGAGGATTCGTGAGAGGAGATTTTTCACAGACATCCAGTCTCGCCCGAGGGGCTAAAGTAGCAGGATTAATCATAGCACTTTCAGATTAATTACTCATAATGCGAGCATCCTCTGAAAGGCATGGCCTGCAGTTGTGATGTTTGGTTGATTTCATTAGGCTACAAAACGACAACACCTAAAATAAGCCTGGCTTAGACGGTGTAAGGGAAGGAGAGGATGACAAATATGAAGGCGCTGAAACGCGCAGTTGCTCCACCGACAGACAGCAGTATATGTATTAACGGTACGGCTGGCAGAATCCGATCAGATAACGATGTAGCAGAACATAAACAGAACTACTCTCCGATTCCATATTATCATTATTATTATTATTATGGTCTGTGCAGAGCTGACAACTTGCAAACTCACAGAGATTTCAGATTTCTTAAGGAGGTCAGGCACATAAACAAAAGGTTCAGAGTTCAGTGGTTAAAGGAGGGCCTCTGGATGCTCAACTCACACAGAATTTTCTCCTCCAGATTCACACCTCGATTAAGCATGGTATTCTCTTCTTGTCTTGGCAGGCTGTGTGCACTCTACACTGAAAACACACTGCATGTGACAGTAGGTTGCATATTGTTGCCTGCACAAGGCGCTGTCAAAAATAGATTCCATTTGCTTGTTTAGTTGAGCTTACTAGCCTCAGCATGTCTCCGGGAAAGGAAGAACAGCAGAGCTGCTTACCATGCGGTGAAACCCCCACCAACAAGAGGGAAAGAGCAGCACTGTCTTCAATTTGAACAATCACAATTACTAAATGTTCTGTGCTTTGGATTGATACAAAACACAAGAGTGCCAGGTGAGCCACTTGAACAGTCTACCTCCCGGCCTAGCTGTGGCATTCAAAAGTAATACCTGATCCAGGACCTGAGAGGGAAGTGGGCCATCGCCACAGAAGACAATACAATTTTTGCTTAGCTGAGGTGTTCTCCCCTCTTCTCTCTGGAGCCTCATTTTAATGATGAGCCTGAAAAGGCATCAGCAGGATAGTTGGCCATAGAGGAAGCCCTGTCTTTGTTGTTGGCTTGCTTCAATCTACTTGTCGTGCTCATTATTTCAACATTAAAGAAAGCGCCAGCAGAAATGCGTAATGGATTTTACTGTTGCTATGACTGCAAACTGTAATGGACAGTTGTGGCAACAACTTAACCTCCTCAAAATGTCGAGAATGATGATACTTTATGCTGGACTCCAGCTTTGCAAAACAGCCTCTCTATATTCATTATTACATCAAACATTTGGGCGTTGCAGAATAATATATGCCAGGAAAGAAATAGCCTATCTGTTTTGCATATTTTTGATTTTCTATAGGGATTGTATTTTTGTTTGCCTTTTAGTATACATCCTCTTCAACCAGAACATTCACTTCATTTTGGCTCTGTTTGGTGAGAAATTGGGCACAGAGTACTTGTCTTTTTCTTTTTAATACTCTTTTCCTAGCAAGTTACTACACAATGATTCGTCATACATTAATGATTCCCCTCATGAATGATTATGCTTGATATCCTCAGACTAAAGATTTTAGGAATCAGTAGGTCAGCAATCTTTGTGAAAAGCTGTGCTGTCATCTTATCTTAATATTGCGGTAAAAAAAACTTGCTTGATGATGCCATGAATCAGTTTTGTATCAAAGCCATTGGAACGTACATCCATTTAATTAACTTATTAATATATATGTTACCTTCTATGTGTATTAACTCATGTTAAATCGCAAAATCTTCTGTTGGAGACCCTTATACTTGCTCCAAGTATGTTTTGAAATAGTTTTTAAGAGTCTTTTAATAACTTACAAGGGAATGCACACAACAACCCAGCATATACTGTGGACTTTCTGAGGCTGTACTTTTTTAAATCTTTTAGCTGTAACCCCAAAGAAAACTGAAAACTAGCCTTTGCCCCAAAGCTTTGCAATAATTTACCTTATTATGACTGGCTGGGTGGCTGAAAATATGTATTTTCTGTTATGAAAATCTTCTCTATTATAACTTGTTATGCTATTATTGCTTCTGCCAAGATTAAATTAGTCCAGTTTGGGTTTTTGTTTGTTTTGTTAGCAGCATATCTAGTGCAATAGGTAGTTTATGTGTGATGTTGAACACAGCCCGTGGTGCGTTTCAATATTCATTTGCAATGCAGTTCCTGTGAATTAATGACCATCGAGTGAGTTAATCAGTCTTTAAACCTGATAGCAGAGAGGTAACGTGAACTGTAGATCTCACCAACGGTACTCCCTAAAAACACTCTGGCAACCACACATAACACCATAGCAACCAGCCTGCAGCCTTTGCAGAGGTCAGCGCTGCACGTTTAACCTGTTTCACTGTTTATTTACTGCGTCTGTTTATTTAGGGCGAGGGACGGGTTTAGAATGCCGATCCTGATCCACGGTAAACTCTCCAAAAGAGTCATTGAGTTGGGATGTGAAAATCTTTGGTAATTGACTATATTACATTATTTATTATATTATTATTATATTACATGTCATAGTCACACTTTTGCTTGTTTTTCAAGCGGACAATAAAGAAGACAAAAATATCTAACATCATTCTAAACAAACAACAATAGCGCCCACTGTGTAATGAGGACTGTATATAGATCAAATCAAAAGAGAAATGAATACATACATATGTCATTAATATAAGTATCTGCATTACAGCTGCATATCTTGAAAAACATAAAAGGGACAGTGTGTTCCTTCACTATAGGATCCTTAGTGAGCAGATCTTGATTCACTGAACACTAAGGAAAGTGAGTGAACAATCTATCAAAATGAATGAGGAGCAAAGAAGGAAATGTAAAGGCTTTCTTTTGCTGAGCATGCAGAGACTGCTGCTTTGTAGTACAATGACCAGAGAGCGAGCCAGGAATAGAGAGGAGGTGAAGAAAAAGGGTAGACAGAGAGAAATAAAAAGGAAAGGAAATGAGGAGGTTTGTTTGTGTGTGCGAGGCATATAGGAACAGAGAGATCACCAGTGCATTTGCAAAGCATATCAAATGCAACAACAAAACAATAAGGATCCTGCCTACATACAAGCATTACTCTAGCTTATGTATATGCAGATACAGTTAGTGAGATTGCAAGTCCTAGATGAGGGAGCACTATTGCACACAGACTGTCTAATAATGGACCAACTGACAAAACACATTAACTTCCCACTGACCCGTGATTGCTGAGAAACTGCTCTTTTTTGTTTGTTGGTCTTTTTGTTTTATAATCATAATAAATAAGGGGTAACATTAGCCACAATTGCCTCATAATGTCTTTGGGTGGGTTGGTCTTCACACAAGCACATTATGCTTTCTTGTAATGAAGTGTGCTGTTTAAATAAACTCGCCTTACCTTGGATTTGCTGAAGTTAACTTAAATAGAATTATTTTGAAGTCGTGTTGTGAATTTGAGACCAAAAGCTGGATTTTTGAAATCAATTTATACAGAGAAACAAGTAAAGAGTCTGTGAAGGAAAAGCAGCATCACATGGAGCTCGTCAAATACACTTAAAGCCTACCTTGTTAGTCAAGGTAGGCTTTTAATGTCACCACAAAATTTGACACGCATGTAAAACCCCTTATTTCTCTACAAGTCTGCTAATTACATGGTTTAGTTACAATGGCTTTGACTATTATTGCTAAGCAGAACACTGAAGCTGTCTGAGTGCCTTGTTATGCCCTGTTTCCATAAACTAATCTGCTGAATGCCAATTTCATATGGATCGTGAGTTTTAATAGGTTACAGAAGTGGGCTGGGGAAAGTGAAGGATTAGTACATTTATCAGGCCACAGAGGCAGATTCAGCAGCTGAAGACAGCAGCCAGTTGCTGTTGCTGTGGCTGGAGGGAAAAGATGACAGTTGTGACCTCAAGTACAGAAATCCATCTTAAGTTGAAGTCTATCAAGGATGATGTATAGTCTGCAGTTCATTGTATGCCAACCGCAGTCCCTTTGTATCGACTGCACGTAAGGCTGTTTGTTTGCTTGTGAGTCAGTATGTTCAGCAATAATCCAAGGTGACATTTGCACCAAGCACACATCAGAAAAACAAATATTTTTGTTACTAAATGTACCATCATTATATTGTATGCAACTGAAAAAACATTTTTCTAATGCCATATTAATGTACATAATAATGTAATTACACGACAATGGAGAACACAAAGGACTTTGATTTTAATAGTGCTCAACCCAACATTTTGAGCATATCTATTGCCCCAATATGGCTCTCAACATGGCGACGGCTGAGACGGCAGCTTGCAGCTAACGGTGCTAACCATGCAAACAATGGCAACAGCGCTGACAGAGCTAACATGTTTACCTCAGGAGGCTACACTTCCGCGGTCGGGAGAGTGTCTTCAGTTGTAACCACCGTATGAGGGCAGTGCAGAACGGCAGCCATGAGCTAACCAGTGGGGTACACTCACACGCACTCACATGCACTAAAAAGCACACACAGCCAGCCCTGCTATGTCAACAAAGCACAGAAAAGCTCAAATCACAACACACACACGGGGGAAAGCAAAAGATAGTTGTTTGCTGCCATATTAGTTTTGTATAGAGAATCTTAAAGTGATTGTATCACCACTACAAACACAGCTACAAATGTGAGCACTAATTAGCTGAATATATCCTTTAACCCCATATGTATCTTATACGTTGGTCTAATTTCTGTTAGATTCAACTTGATCAACTTGAACTTTTACAGTTCCAATGCATCTGTAAACTAAGCACATTTGATCTGACTTTAAAGATCTATAAGTCCTCTCATGTTGCTGTTAAAGCTTGAGTGCCAGACCTGCCAGACCAACCTCTGGGGAAGCACATGTAAAATCATTTTAGAGGTGAAGTCCAAAGTATGATTTATGTAATCCAATCCAAACAATAATAGGTACTAAAGGTTAAGAATAGAATTGCGGATGTGCTACAAGTTGCTGCTGATGTTATGATGGTTCAAAATAAGGTGATGTTGTGGATCCTCAAACCAAAGTGTGGACACAGGCTTGCCAAAGTGTAGTGTAGACAACCACAATGACATAGCCGCATTGCATGCACTCTCTTTTCCTAAATTCTTCATTACAGTGGGTTATAATTTCATCACACACCAGGGTGAAAGCTCTGACTTTGAGAGAGGAGCAGCCAGTAAATGATTTATAAGTGAGTGTGTCACTGTGTCTGTGAGTGTTAGACTGACAGAAAAACAGAAATGCAGCCAGAGTACGACAGATTCTGAATCTGAAGGCCTCTGTCTGTGCGTCTTGCCTTTATGATGTAAACTGAATGTAACCTTTCTCCTCTCATACAGCCCCTGCAGTAGTGACTAGGAAGCCCTGCCCCTCCCTCGGGAGCCTGCATAGACTAGCATTCATCTGCGGCTCAGCTGCTGCGTGGTCTGGGTGTCAAGTGAATCCCACCATGTTTCCATGCAGAACGGGGCACAGAGGGACAGTCAGAGCACGGGGGGAGCTGTCCACTTGGTAATCAAGCCTTGCTTAATGTCAGTCCCAAAACTGGACAGTGCCTTAGAGACACATTGGAGAACATCATCCTGGAAATGGGAAAATGAACAGAGGTACTAAGTGCCAATATGAGACAATTTAGACTTTATCTTGTATCTCTACACAGCCACAGCACTCATTGTGTGCAGGGGCACCGAGCCTCTTGGCAAGCCTCTGACCCCACTTTTACACCATTTATTGCGGTAATTATATGTGCTCTTTCACCTGGAGGCAGATTATGATTGCAGTTACTTGGTTAGTGACAAAGCAATTTTGAGAAAGCATTCTTTCAATAAGCGTTAATATGAATATTATTACTAAATATCCTCTTTAACAAATTGCCTGCTATTATAAAAGGAAAATCTCCTCTCTGATGCAAATGGATCCTCCATGGATATGACTGTGTTCTAGCTGTAGATGCAGCCTTCCGACAAGCTCTTATCTATGGAGTCTGAAACTGCATATGGCTTTATAAATTGGTCCTCACACCAAGGCTATTTCAGGCTGGTAAACGGCCTTTTTGGTAGCTCTGTTAAGGGAATATTTTAGTTTTATTCTTCACTTATGATGCTGCAATAGAGGCTTTCCCTTCAGTCTACACACAAAGGAAGATGAAGCTGGGGGAAAACATCAATGTCTCTATTTTTCTTTGAGATGAAACTTAAATTGTTTGGGATTTTTGTTACCACTTTCCCAATGTAGTACTTGTGTATTGTTGAACTTTTCACACAGCTGGAATCCTGGTTGGATGATTGGACAGATAGATAGAGAGACATATAGAAAGACACTGCAAACACACATACTCTGCAAACCATGTAGGCTAACCAAGACTTTCTGTAACTATATGTCATAAACCAGTAATCAAGTTCTACATTATTAATTCCCATAATCTCAGCTACGAAATAGTGAAAATTGCTTTCCAACCAGAGGCATATCTTTTCTGGGGCATCTCTGAGCCGGTAGCCTAAATTGCTGCGCTGTGTCATAAACTTGCTGTTGCTTGCATATATATTTTTTTCATAAATTACAAATTAATTTGAAAGAAGGAAAGCCTTTCCACTATTTATGTGAATTTCACTCCCATTGTTGCACTCCAGTTGCCACTGTGAGCTTAAAGGGTAACTTCAGAATTGGTCCAGTATTGAGGGACAACGCTGCAGACGGCTGCTGTCTGCAGTAGATGTATGTTCACTCAAATAGTTGTTTTTTCACAGACTGGCTATTATAAGTGTCTGACAAAATTATAGACGTTTATTAAACGTTTTTCCTTTCCTTTCGCTTGATCTGGTCTGTGTTATTGTGTTCAAGTCCCGTTGCGATATTACTAATCATAGAACAGTAAAGACATTAACCACCCTACTCTGCCTTTGATTGGCTTCCCTGATATTCGTATCCCAATCCTAAACTATCTCACTCCTCATGCCAAAACCTAACCAATCCACCACACAAAGCCAATGAATACAAGCAAATTAAGAGTCATGCCTTCGCTTCCCGCTCAAAGAGAAGTTCTGTTGTGAGATCATGTGTTGCATCCACGTTGTCAAACTCAGCAAAATATTCAGTCATGACATTGAAAATCTTTTAGATAACACTAAACTATTTTTTTGGACTCCAACACAACAAACTCTAACAGCACCGGTGTCCCATGGCTCTCCTCTCTTCGGCTCTCACTCACGTTTCCATCCAAGTCACATGACACAAAAACAATCAGCGAAAGGTAAGAAAAGTATTTATTTCTCTGTAGTCTTTTCCATAACGCTGTCAGACTCCTAAAATAACTACCTGTCAGTGTCAAAAACCAGCAATGTCGATGGATGTGACTGACAGTGCTGAATTGCCCGAAATGATTATATTGCAGCCCGTTTAGCTGCTGCCAGCGTTATCTCACAATACTCGACCAATTTCAGAAATTGCTGTCCCCATTAGTCACTTAGACACAACAACATGGGAAAATACAGATTCAAAAATACAGAAGTTACCCTTTAAATGGTTTCTTATTATTCAACACATACTTAATAATGAATTCATAAATTAATAATAATAATTCATTATAAAATAATAATTCCAATAATAATAAAACAATAATTTCAGTAATATATCTAGAGTAGAGCTCCTGAGAGAAGAAGGCGATTGTTGTTAGATTGTTGAAATAAAATTGGATGATGACTCTACTCCCTAAAAAACATTGAAGGCACAATGCTATGTTTCAGCGCACAAGCTCTTATGCGTTCTCATTTGGTACTGTTCGATCATCGTCCATTCAGCTTAAAGGAGCTGTTGAGGATGTTGACAACGGAATAGAGTCAGCTACTTTTAACAATGTATCATTTTATATGACGTGTGGAAACGACATCAAATGTGTACGACTTTAATTACGGCTCTCACTCAATATGGGTCGCTGTCACGGCAATAAAACATCTGCTCGGCAGTGATGAATTCTCCTCGGTGAAAGTATTTTAGTAATATTGAATGAACCATGAGGCAAAAATGAGATCAGAGAGAGGATTGATTTACCTGAACAATTAAGTGTCTTTGATTTACCTGTGCAAGTATACTGATGTACTAAGGTTATACAATAACTACCAAAGTTAAAGCGTCCTGCATCTACCAATATATGACTATCTGGATCCTTATAATAATAACAATAACAATAATAATAATGATTATTTGTGGATGACTTCACATGCCAGTAGTGGACTGGACATAATTAGATAAACACACACCGACTTATAATGTACTGAATGACCTTCAACCAAATCAGGAGAAATGGTTGTTGTTATGGAGTCCTGCTCACAGTTTGAAAACTCTTAGATGATATATTTCCCTGTAGTCAATGTAATTACTAGCGCTGTAATCTCAGCAATACTTGCAATAAATTAAATTTACAGTGTATCTGACATACACAGACATCTTAGAAAAACATCACTTAAGATTTATAATGGTTGATATACTAGATATGGACAAAAGCCAATAAAACTCACTGTGCAAGTAAACAAGAGTGGCCGGTCTGATGTCGTGGAACTAAGGCCGCGAAGATTGCATCCTGTAACTTCCAATCTCAGACAATGTAATTTTGGTTTGAAGTCCTCGGTGGAGCAGAGTGAGGGAAGTGTGTATTATAAAGGTTTGGATATTTCTCCTAACTCTGTTAGTCAGTGTGACATTGGCGGAAGATTGAACTTCCTCTGCAGCAGTCAGTATTCGCAGGGTGAGTCATAAGAGACCATAACTAATCATGAAATAACCTGTCGCAAGTCTGAGTGAAACTGGCAGTGTGGCTTGTATTTTCCAATCTGTTAAGCATAGTTTAGCACAGGCGGTGTCTGTTTGCATTCTAATGAGCTATCAGCTTGCATTAAATTAACATAATCCGTGACGTTTTACCCAAAGGTTGTAAGAGGTCAGGGAAGTAAGGTCTAGTGGCTTTAAATTGTGAGCTGAGGTATATTTGTGGAAAACAAATTACTTGTCGATGATGTACATTCTTAAGGCTAATTAAATCATTAAAGCACTGGGTACTTAAATGAAATACAACTTCAATCTTGTCCCTGAAAATAACAAGACTAAAAGTCAACAGCCATGCTAGTAGCTCCGTGAGGCTATAGAGTGATGCTCCTTGTAAAGAAGAACAAACTATTGGATGGATAGATTAACCAAACTTTGGACAAACTAAAGTTCACAAAGACCATGAATGCCTGTGCCATATTACATGGGAATACATACAATAGTTTAATTAACTAAAGTTTCTAATGGTAATTAATATTAAAAATCTGAGCATTTTATGTTTACAAATGAAGTTTTAAATGTTCTAGCAAAAGTGCTTCTGTTATACTAAAAGCAAATAATGCAACATTCTTTGTACAGTTGAATCAAAGGACTGTTATGTAGGATAAGGATAAGGATAAGGATGTTTATTGTCATTGTCAAAAGGTTTACTAGTACTTTGGATCCCATTGTGAATCCTCATACCTATTC